TGCAATGGAAAGGGCTACCCTCCGGAAAGCGAGGATGGGAGGTGGGGAATGCTCTAAGCATACCACGACAGCCGGCTGTCGTGGTTATGTGGGAATCACTGCGACTAAACTAAGTGCCTACCCACTAAACACCACCTGTGAGATTGTGTATGTTGAGGCCTTTCTACCGAATTGGAAGCGACCCTCTTTAGGGAAAAGGGGGCGCAGGGTACGTCTGAATACTCCGCTGCCCTTTATTTATACTGGCTCTCCTATGACGTACTCTGTGCTCATTCAAACAGTAACACTACAGTGCTGTATATTTATTACATTTAGATGTGGTAGAGCCATGCCGCAGCTATATTAGTAGTATAGTTGTAGCCCGAATGGGTCGGCTCGACCAGGAGAGAACCATGCTCTCACAGAATACCAGCGTAAAATAGCAGCTTAACGCTGCTGTGTTTTGTATGTAGACAGGCGGAGACTTTTTACTGGGAACAAGACATTCCATCTTAGTCCTCACGGGTGACAACGCATGTGCATTTTGATTCGTAATAGAGGATAGATGTAGATGTCTATGGACCACAGCAACCACTTACTATCAGTGGACTGTGTGCTCGTCTGCCACACTTATCCTATAAAAAAGTGCAATGCTTCTCGGTGCTAGGAGTATTACAAGTAAGGTAATACGAACCTAGACTAACTTATAGGCAGGACAGGAATCCTACTCTCAGATTATACGTACAGCAGTTGTCAAAATATTATTAGGCATTTTCAATTCCGTGTGACATATTTACGTGGTACAAAAATAAAAGAAATCTACATATGTATGTAATTACTCAAAGAAAAAAACAAAAAGGCATTTGCTTTATGAGACCTTGAAAATGAATCGTAGTTTTTGGGGCATGGCTTAGCCCGTCGTCGATGAAGCTTACGGACAACTGAGGGGGTCCAAAAATTAAAGTGATGCAATTACTTCATGTACACTAATTATGAGTAAGGTCTTTAAACTGTGGCTATACCGAGCACGCGCACGGAAATAAACTACGTAAGCGCCGAATAATTTTTTATTTTGGATCAAAGTTCCTTATAATAAAATTGTAAGATATTTCCGTCACGACCCCTTCTGTCGTATGCCACACCATCCCACCCATCATCCTTGTACTCTTTCTTATCTTAATATGAAAGAAATATTATTTTATTTTAAATGACGCTTCATTTTAATAGACGCTAGTAATGCATTTATTTGTATTTGTTAATCAATAATATAATACGTTTATCAATAATAATATGACCGAATGTTCCACGACACGCATGTGTTTTTTTAACAAAACTACTACAGGGATTAAAAAAAATTGTTTATGTGAGCTCAAATATTATTATTTACTATGCTCTAATAATAACTCCATGAACTAAATCATAAAAATATTGTGGTGAGAAATGTATATAATTAGAGCCTACATTACATTTTTGTCTATCAAGAAAATTACATGTTATCGTGCTTTCCTTCAATGAAATTCAAGATGAGATGTCCATGGGACCTCTCTATCTCACTCAAAATATCAGGTGTTCCGGAAACGATGCTGCCACATTCGGTCTTCAGCTTTGACAATTGGCTCTATCTGGCAGGCAGATCTCTGGCAAAGACTTTGGAGCCTTGGTTCCGCTTCTTCAATACAAGCTGAATTGAAGTTTTATGTGGTAGCGCCATGCTGTAGCTATATTGTGGTTGCAGCACAAATGGGTTGGCTCGACCGGGGTAGGACCACGTTAAATAGTACCAGCGTAAAATTGTAGCTTAACACTGCTGTGTTTCGTATGGTGAGTGTAGAGAAGTGGATACCCTTTTTAGTGGAAACGAGGCATTCCATCTTAGTCCTCAGGGGTGGCGGCGCATCTGATTCTTAATTGAGGAAAATTTAGATGGCTATGGGTCAAAGCATCCACTTACCATCAGGTGGACTGTGTGCTCGTTTGTCACCCTTATTCTATAAAAAAAGTCCCGCCGCATGCATTTAGAGATCTGTTTGTTCAGTTGCCTGTATGCTGCCAAATCTGTTGAAGACTGCAGCTTTATATCCCGTCTAACGGCCTTGAGATTAAGAGTGTGATCGGAGAGTTTTTGTGTTCTTCTGCGGCGCGTCTTGCAAAACTTAGCTCCGACCGCATGGACAGTTTCCATTAGCTAATCATTCATATCGTCCACTTCATTGCAGTCTTCTAGGCACTGATAACGGTTTTGTAACTCGAGCGATTTCGGGACTTTGGATTAAAGCACGAGGGGAACGGAGCGTTGACTTCATTAGACGACTTCCTCTCCAACTTACCGTTTAGGTGCAGTGTGACTCGCTGATCGCTACCAGTTTTCACCATCTCGATCACTGAGGCATCACTGAACAGTTGTCGTCTGGTCGTCATAATGAAATCAATCTCATTTTTTGTCAAACTGTCTGGGCTCGACCAGGTCCACTTCCTGTGGGGCCGCTTCTGAAAGAAAGAGTCCATCATAAAGAGTCCCTCTTTCTATATGAAGTCGGCCAGCCGCTGGACCCTTGGGTTCCGTTGCCCTATTCCAAATTTCCCTAACTTCAGCTCACCGTTCTTTCTTGTGCCTAGTTTTGCATTTGAGTCTCCCATTAACATTGAGTAGTGGGTTTTGGAGGAATGCATGACTCTAGAGATATACTCATACATTTTCTCCACCTCCTCATCGGGATGTGCCGAGGTTGGTGCGTAAACCTGTATGACCTTCAGCGAATACCGTTTGGTAATTCTGAGTATAAGGTACGCAACCCTCGTCGACACACTCACAACTTTTTTATTGTAATATTTCTGTAACAGGAAGATGCTGCTGCCCATCTCCTGCCTGTTTCCCACTGTCAGCTGTTACGAAACCCACGGGAAGATATGGGGTAGTGGATATTCTTAACCGCCACTACACGGCGTTTCATTAAATAATTACTTTTTAGTGACGCACTGGAGAAGCATTGTGGATTAACTGTGCCTTAACCCTCTAAAAATGAAAGTCAAAGTCAAAAAACATATACCAAACATTTGGGTCGTAATCTATAAAATTTAAACAAATAAAAATATATTTATGGGTAAGTATGAGAAATAAAAAAACCACAAAATTTATGAGGTATCAACTTAACCTTATTTGCCAGTACTCGAATTTCAATAAGATCGATAGTAGGCTCTGATGCAGTACCAGCGATACGAGGACAATCATAACACATCTTGAACTGGCGGAAATCGATTTGTTTTTTACCCATAACTTATGAAAAGTATGGTATATTGCTATTACACGCTATGTAAACCTGAAGTAGTGTATGAGTAAAACAGTGTTCAAATCTTTAAATAAAAGTAACTTTATTAATTGCTATTTATGTAAGTACATTAAACAAGTTCTTGGGTTGCTTGTTAAATACATTTGTTTTTCTTGGCCGCGGACATGTAGCAAACATTATGATTTCTTTGTATAGGCAATTCAATTTGTTAAATGACAACTGTAATGCATAGTTAGTTTATTGAGCCTTGGAGTATATATATCGCAAATATACTGCTATATAATAAATCTATGAAGTAGTCTATACTTAATAGTTATTTATAATATGCTGTACCTAGCTGTGTCCTCGTGCTTAATAAAAGTATAAATACAAAATACTCCAAATTTTCTCCGAACCGCAACATAAAACAACCTACAATTCCACGCTCCTAACATCTAGTAGCTAACAAGGTCGTCGATGAAGTCAGAGTCGAAAACTCGTTTGAGGCTTAAGAAAAGATCATAACAATGTCAAAACTACCGATCCTAAGGTCTATCCGGTCTACTACCGGATTCGAAAGTGAAACCTCTACAGTGATGTACAGCCAAGAAACTCAAATATGATTGTTTTTTTCCTTTCTTTTAGAGAAAGTGAAATAACATTGTAATTGTGCCAAACGATCACTAATCCGTGTAGTGGCGGTGCAAGAACATCCACTACCCTATATCATCCTGTGGGTGTCGTAAGAGGTGATAGAGGGAAACAAATCAGGAGATGGGCAGCAGCGTCTTCGTAATAATATTTAAAAAAAACTGGTGTTGCCAACCCGCTTGCCAAGCGTGGCAACTATGACAAATATCCCCCTATGAGGCAACCTAATAGGCTGTAACGATAACTTTAACGGTAACGGTAACCGACCACTAGACCGTAAAAACAATTTTTCCATGCGTCCTTCGCGTAGTCGTCAAATTTACTAGGCGCTTGTCATAGTATGTTTAACAATATTTTTGTTAACTTCCAGTCGGTTATTATATATTTTTATAAAAATTGGTAATTTTTTTTTCCTTATTAGGCTTACCCTTTTTTTCAAAAACTTTACGAACGTACGTAATGTTCTCATAAACGTACATAGACGCAAGATAAAGTACCTATGTACTCCTTCTATACTGTTGTCATTGAAAGACAACAGATGAAACGTTCAATTTGTTCATCTTATGCATACCTAACAGCAGCGCAAAGACTACAATACAGCAGCGTAGGTTAACAAGCTTTAATTATTTTTAAGGTATTTTACATAAACGACCTTATGATTTATTGATAGTCTCGAGTATAAACTGTGCTTAAAAAACTTTTTTTTTTAAGATATAACAATAGTTATTCTCACAAACGAAGTCGCACAATAGCGGCACCACAGTCCAAGCCAGCAAGAATAGCATTGAAGTTCCATTCTATATTTCTCGCCTAAAATTACTCACATATTACGTCAGTAATTTTAAAGCGGGTCCTTAAAATGACTGACAGGGATCGAACTCGGTTTCCTTATGTACTATTACATTATCAGTGAAGTTGTGTACTGGCTTACTCCCGCACTCTGCGATAACTAGGTTAAATTATTTATGTTTTGAGGACATTTGAATTCCGACGCTTACACGCATTGGGGCAGCGCGAGAGTATGCCTGTGCCGAGAGTGGGATGTATATAGACCGTGTCATTACTTATTTAAGTACATTAAAATATTTTGAAATTAATTTTCAGGTGTTGGTTTTTTATCCCGTAAGACTGCTAATTCAGTATCACCTGTTTGTACATTGATGCTGAACGAAGATGGCTCATACACTATGGCCATGCTGACCACGTTTCGGAACGTCTTCGTCACATTTAAACTAAACGAAGAGTTCATTGAAGAACGAGCAGATGGAACAAAGGTAACCTTATATAGAAACAGATGTAAAACATTTTGATTGTTATTATATTTACGGGCAAACTAACAACCCTTATCATACCATTATAGCCTATCAAATGTCCACTGCTGATAACAGGTTATCCCATGATGATTATTTGCTGTAGTTACCTCGTTTGGTGAGCGTGTTGATAACTGCTGTTTTTAGGGTTCTGTACCTCAAAAGTAAAAAACGGAACCCTTATAGGATCACTTTGTTGTCCGTCTGTCTGTCTGTCTGTCTGTCAAGACCCTTTTTCTCAGGAACGCGTGGAGGTATCAAGCTGAAATTCATATCAAATACTCAAGTCTACTGTCCCTTGGAGCTGTGAAAAAATCAAACTTCTAAGCCAGCAAAAGATACAGCCGTTTATGGCGCAAATTTTCGACATACGGAAGGGAATTAAAACCTACAGGGTACTTCCCGTGAACTCGGGTTCTTAAAATTTGGTACGAAGCAACGTTTTATAGCAAAGATAAAGGAAAAATTGCGAAAAGCATAAATTTTTAGTTACATCATATAATAAAAATATTTTTAATAATTTTAAACTTATATACCTACGGATTTGTTCGGAACCGTCGGTGCGCGAGTCCGACTCGCACTTGGCCGGTTTCTTTTTTATTATTTTGTGTGTTATTAGCTGCTGCCCATCTCCTGTGCAATTTCTCTCTGTCGCCTCTTTCGATAGCCACGGGTCGAGGTATTAGATTTTCTTAAACCGTCGTACTAACTAACTAATTCAACATTATGTAATTTAAATAATGGTTGTACAAAACAAAATTCCTACTCAGCTGGATACATCTCTATATATAAGAATCAATTGCTTTCCGTTAGTCTTGCCGAATTCGAAAACGGATCGTTTGATTTTGATGAATTTTTTGTGTGCGTTTGAGTTGATGGTTCAGTTTCAAATTTGGATCCAATAGGTGGCGCTGTTGTCAAGATCCAGAAATCACCCGTAAGAAGCCGAGGCTGATTGAACAAAATCCCTAGTCAGCTGGGTATATAGAGTACAAAACAAAGCATTTAATTCAGTTGATAACGAAAGTAATATAAACATAATTAAAAATTAAAAATTTTGTACAACCAACTTCAATATATATTATTAAGGATAACTCAAAAACTATTCTTCAGACCTTGATCAGATTTATATGGAACTATATAAAACGTACCAGCTTTCAAATAAAAAAATAATCATCGAAATCGGTTGATGTAGAATAAAGTTATGATGTAACACACATAAAAAAAACATACAGTCGAATTGAGTAGGTACCTCCTCTTTTTTTAAGTGTGTAGAAAAAGATATTACACATTTATTTATTTACTTTTGCTCACTTAAATACTAGATGATTGGTTGTTCCGATTGCTTTCCCTGTTCTCCTTAAGTATTTGATTAAATCAATAAAAAAGTTGGATGAAACGAGATGCAATGTGATGGTGACGTAGAAGAATCATATCACCCCATTTCATTCCGTAAAAGGCAATTATGGGAAATGCTACAAAAATCTTATAGATTTCCGTAGATGGCCGTATATAAATTATGGTTATTTTTCAAAATGTAGCCAAATTTTAAACTTAATTTCAAATATGTAAATAATGATATAACGTTATTGCAGTTTTTGAAAATACAAGTAAGGCTTTTACTTTTATTTGAAATTATCCCAAATTGAATGTGATTTGTGGGCAACAACGTTTTTGCCTACCGATCGACCCTTACCAATGTGTGCGTGCGCAGTAAAATCGGTTAAAATACCTAATGCATTACCACGCATTTAGAATTTAAAAGATAAAAAGGACAGAATGTTTGATATTTTTTTTAATTAATTTTTCTTCGCCATTTGCCCGTATTACTTATTCTGAACCTTCTCTGCAAATTGAGCCGGTTATTGCAAAATAACCCTGTACAGTTGGACTGGCAACGGGCAGCAGCGTAAAAGGTGGATCTGGAACTACAATTGTCATCCGTATGTCAACCGTGGCGCTTGAGGCAAATTCTACTGACGATGAGAAAAGTCCATGTCCAACAGCGAACATTTTAAAATATAACAACAAGGACTTTTATAATTTTTCAACTGTACTTTAATTTTACATTTTAAATTTTTCGTCCAGCGTCGGTAGCCCAATGGCAGGGCGCAGACAGCGAACTCGAAAGGTCGCGGGTTCGAATTCGTCTAGAAACGCCTTTCGACTACTGTCGTGAACCACTTCTAACAAAAGCATTTTAAGCTTACCAGAAGTAGTTAAAGGGAATATTAGTAATGTTTAATAGCATTACTAGTATTTAAAAAAAAACCCCGACGTAAACAACACAAAAAACTTATAACACCTCTCGTGTTATAATTTTAACTTGTGTCTGTGTATCTTACTGTGGCATCGTATCGCGCAAATAGACAAACCAGTTTTGATATAGTTGTTTTTGGTTGGAAGGTGATTTGATCGTGAGTGTTTTAGCTATGATTCAAGAAAATCTTTTCAGTCGATTGAAGATCATTATTATTCAGGTTTTTTTTTTATTTTAAATTATGTTATAATAACACGTCAGTACGTAAGAACTGCAATTTTTATTATAATTGGCTCATTATTGTTAATGACGCTAACTTGACCGTGTTTCTTCATAGTGCAATAAATTTGGTTATGTTTCATGGTCAACTTAATATTCTTTGGTACTTCCTAATTAATTAAATAAAGACGTTGCCTATTAGAATCATAATTATCATCGTCAGCATTATAGCCCTTCACAAGTCCACTATTGAAAGTAGGCTTCCCTCAAAAAATACCACATGACATCGTCCTAAGCCACCTGCATACATCTATCAGGTTGTCACTTCATCTATGGGTGACTGTCCTTGTTTACCGGTACCGAAACGAGGTTGCTACTCAAGTTTTGTCCAACCGACAACCAATAGGTAAGAAAGAACCTTTCTTACCCATCGGTTGACGGTTCTTCAGACTATTCGACCGGCCCTTTGCCACTTTAGCTTACTGAGAACAAAATTACAATAAGTAAATAGTAATTCTTTTAAATAAAACTAATTTTACGGATTTTATCGCGTATATTAACTTATTTTATATTCCCGACGTTCCGAGCACTTTACAGCACCCATGGTCACGGGGGGGGGGGGGGGGGGGCTGAGGTGTATGACGTCCCAATGTCATAGTTACCACGGCTACCTCCAGATTAAAAATTATTAAGTTTTGTTCCGATCTATGCAGTATAAACGTATAATATAAGAAAACATTAGTAATTCTTTATTTAAATATCAGTCAAAATATTATATTATGATAATTATTCCGTATAGTGTGAAAAATAATGTGTAGTTTTATAAATCTGATTTTATATTTTATAGGAGTTATCGAGTTGTGATACTTGGCATTAGCAAGGCAATCATAATTAGCATATTTATTGTCGAGAGAATAACTCAAGAATTATTTTATTTGATTTAAGTACATTATGTAGGACACGTTTTCTACGTAGTAGTGGTAATAGTTCGTCTGCGTAGGTACAAAATTTATTTCTGCACTACTGTCTTCCGGTTTGATGGGGTATACGAGTAAATAGACTTAATTATGCTTGGCTATCTATACCCCATCTAACGGAGAAAGAAAAGGAGTCCTATCTAGTGTACTTAAATCAACGACTCTATTTCATAAATTACGAAGTACCAAAGAATATTAAGTTGACCTTGAAACATAACCAAATGTATTGTGTTGTGAAGAAACTCGGTCAAGCAAGTGTTATAAACTATAATGTGCCAATTATAATAAAAAATGCAGGTCTTACGTGGTGACGTATGTTATTATAACATAATTTAAAATAAAAAAAAATCCCGAAATAATAAGAGCTGGTGATCTTCAATCGACTGAAAAGATTTTCTTGAATCACACGTTACAGGCCGTGAGGCAGGAATGCCTTGTGAGAGAGGAATGAGAGGTGGAAACCTTAGTCCTCAGAGGTGAGAACGCATGTGTAGCCTTTGTTTGAAGTTGGCTGCAGGTATCCATGCATTGCTGTCACTTCAGTTTTATATAAAAAATATATAGTGCGGTAAGTCGACATGACACATTTTTGGTGGGACCAGTTTGCGCATATTAATTTTTAAAACCCAACGTAGCTTCGAATTCTAAGTTCACATTTGTGGACTGCAAGAGGTTTATTTATAACTTTATTTAAAAAAAAAACTGTTTTGGACTATGAGATCTTTTTTGTGTTTACCACAGTTACCTTTAGACAACCATAGAATGAAATGGTATAATTCCTTTTGTCCAGATTGTTATCCCACATCCATACTACTTCCGGTTTTATTGCATAAGTCGAATGCTAAAAGAAACAGGAAGAATTAATGGTTAAAGAATGAGGCTGCAAATTTTAAAAGACGTGGGTTCGAATCTCTCATTCGCATACTGTAGAGAAACACTTCAATTACAAGCATTTTCAGCTTACTTGGAGTGGTTAATAGGGATATTACCTAAAGTTAATAGCGATATTAGTATTCTTAGAAAAAAGTAAACATAAAAAGTGATGAATATGCACACTGATGAATATATTTATATATTTTACAGGTTAAGTCACTAATGGTGGTTGAGGGGAACAAGTTAATACAGACCCAAATCGAAGACAACGGAAGAAAATCAACGCATGTTAGGGAGTTTACACCAACTTCTATAACAGTGGTTAGTACCTCTATTCTGCGGCGTTATTAACGTTGTAAATAAATTTAAATAACACAAGATATGGACAGCAAAAAGCAAGGAGGTCGATTGTTGCAGATGGCTCAGGACCGTGCTTTGTGGTAATCCTCAGGGGTGGTCTATGGTTCAGTGGTGGAATTGTAAAGTAGAAGTAAAGTAAAATGTCAGCCTATATACCACCCACTCTTGTGTACAGGCCTCCTCTCATTTCTGAGAATGTTTTAGGGCAAGGGTGTGTCCACCGCGCTGCCCCAATGTGTGTTGGCGAACTTCATATGTCTTCGAAATATTTTTTTTTCTTTATAGGTTTCCTTGCGATATTTTCCTTCAACGCGGAGCACGTGCTAAATCAGCACTTAAAATTGTAATTAACAATTTAATTGGTGCCGGTGGGGATTGAACCCGGGTTGCTCGCGTACTGTGAAGTTTACAGAGAACGCTTAGCCCCCAAGCTCAAACTGGACTTGTGAAAGGCTGTAATGATGATGATAATGATGAGGATGACAAAGTAACAAGATAGTTTGTAATCAAATGTGTTACAGATTTGATCGGTGAATTACTAAAATCATAAGGACTAACAAAAATTAAATTTTAAAAAGCGCACGTGAAAATGAATTTTCAGAACTGACAGGGAACGATTACACAGTTACAATAATAAAAATATACTGATTTCTTATGCAAATAAGGATAACGAACGAGCAAATAATAGAACCGTGTTGCAGCTATATTATGGTTATGGCACCAATGAGTTGCCTTGACCGGAGAAGGAACACGCTCTCACAGAATACCAGCGTAAAATAGCAGCTTGATGCTGCTTTGTTTTGTATAGAACCGTATAGTAATGCGTATGTGTGAATAACCGGATACCAGGAACTCAGGGTATAAAGCGCGAATAAACTAAATATTTATAAAACACAAAAAAAAGGGTACGATCACCGTCCTTAGCCGTTTTGAGTGTTGATTTACCTGCTCAACGGTTTGTTAGGTGGTAAAGATAATTATCGGGAATAGACTTGAATGTCAGAAAAAAATCATAAGAAATCGATGAAACGAAATCCTTCAATTCACATTTGGGGCACCGCTTCTCTAAACGACTTTCATCAACGAGACGAGGATTGGAGGAGGGTCCAGAAATAGAATATAAAATTTAAATAATATGATCACAGTTCACTGCCGGACGAAGGTTTTTCCTATTGAAGAGATAATTTGTCATAATAATAACGCTTTGTAGGCGGATAACACATATAACGAATACACTAAAAATAGCAGAGATAAGAGATAATCTAATTAGCGGAACTGTACCTTACATTTTTTGTATACCTATTTACAAAATATATATTTTTTTTAATTTTCAGACTTCAACGGCAGATGGCTGGAGTGGCAAATGTGTACGAGTTTATGAACTTGTAGAATAACACAAAAACATAATTAAATATATCATGTGTCCAACGTCATACTTACATAATAGCTGGAATCTGCAGTGCGATTGTGTAACTCTAGTGGGAATAAATCTGCAACTATGTTTGTTTTATATTATGATAAACAACACAATACAATGAAACAAAAGCATAAAGGTCAAAACGAAACCAACCACAATGCCCACCGGAGTTACACAATCGCTCTGGAAGCATAGGTTGAGTAAAGCCACACGGGCGGTGCCGGTGCTATGATTTAGACGCATTTCGTGACATACGGCCACACTCTCATGGCAATTATTTATTCTGTGCTTGTGGCAACACAACGTCGCTTACACTGAGACGTTTGCACACCCGACATCCTATTTCCATCTCTTCGAATCTCTTGTCAGTTGCGCGTGCAATATATATATATATATATATATATATATATATATATATATATATATATATATGTAAAGGACAGATTTTTCAATCTTTAGTAAAAAGTCACAGTTGTATGAATATTAAAGGTTAATTATTTAACATTTATATTCAGTCTGGTTATTTTAATTGTTGGATAACATTCAACTGAAGATTGTATAATCAGCCCTTGTTCAGCTCACTTAGCATATCTCGAATAATAAATAATATTATGTAGTGTATAACTTTTAATCCAAATTTGGTATATTTGAAGTTATATAAGTATTGAACCCAACCGATTAGTAAGCTGAAGTGGCAATGGGCCACCGTATAGCTCGAAAAAGCGATGAAGAACAAATGCTCTCGCAGGTCAGCCTCGTAGCGGTAAACGAATTGTAGGGCGGTCCTTTACTAAACGGAGTGACGGCCTGGTAAGAGATGTAGGAAGTCGAGTGATGCAGGTGGTTTAAGACCGTGCTTTGTGGCATTCCTTAGGGAGCATTCCTTCATTTTTAAAGGGCTGCCAAAATTCATTTTATTTTGTTCACGTAAAATGTTCGCCCCAGCACACAACAATTAACTGTATGTTTTGTTATGTTATCATCGATTTCTTTTAGCTGCGAGTATAATTTATAGGTTTTTAACATGCTGTATTTTATTACATTAATGGTGATGAATTAGTTGGGTGATAGATTTTATAGAGTCAATAAGAATAAGAGAACTCCATATCTGTGAATTTATTGTTAAGATATTTTAATATATGAAGGAATGGTAACTATAAGTCTTAGTTAATATTAATCATAATCATTTTTCAATTAACATAGATTAATAAAGATATATGATAACCGAAATATTGTATATTTAAGAATTTAATTCTTTATTAATAAATTATTTTGTATTTAATAGAATCGATATATGTATCTGTTCAATTTTGCCAAGTAATTTAAAAAATATAAAAACTGCTACGGTAATGAAGTTATTGTGTTTACAATGTTCTGTTCGTATTTTTTTAATAATTTTTTATTTTAATAAAACCACCAACAGCATAAGATGCATTTTGGTTTTAAAGGCAGACAGCCTAAGGTTAAGTTACACATAATTGCACTTACAGATAGTTGCATCATGCATGAGACTATTTGTATAACCACTTTTTTTCTATTGGAGCTAGAATGTTTTTTAATTTCAATAGCCTCAAGTATCATTCTTGCTAAGAATCGACGTTATTTCGCGAGGATTTGTGGTCTATCAAATCTAATGTAAATGGAAATATTCGGATTGTAGAGTGGTCTAATAGAAGCTTGTAGTATGTTCTAATAAAATATTTTTTTTTATAGGAGAGGGGGAGTATGCGGCTCACCTGATGGGAAGGGACTACAGCCGCCCATGAACAACTGCAACACCAGGGAGGGAATTGCAGATGCGTTGTCGGCCTTTTAAAAAGGAGAAGGCTCTTTTCTTGAAGGTTCCTAAGTCGTATCGGTCCGAAAAAATCGCTGATGGTAATCGATTCCACAAGGAAGTCGAGCGAGGAAGAAAACATCTTCTAAATCGCACAGTGGTGGACCGCCAATCATCCGGATGGTGTGGATGGTATCGGGAGTTCTGCCGCGATGTGCGTTCTTGAAATTTGGCGGCTGGGATTAATCCGAACAATTCCTCAGAACACTCCCCGTGGTAGATGCGAAAGAAAATGCAAAGGGAAGCAACATCTCTTCGCAGTGCCAATGAATTGAGCCGATCGGAAAGGACTCGGTCGTCGATGATTCGAGCCGCTCTGCGCTGGATGCGGTCAAGTGGAAGGAGCTGGCACTGGGGAGCCCCTGTCCAGAGATGGGAACAGTATTCCATGTGAGGCCGAACCTGCGCCTTGTAAAGTTGCAGGCGGTGTGCCGGCATGAAATACTGTCCCGCTCTGCTGAGCACGCCAAGCTTTTTAGAGGCCAATTTGGCCTTCTCTTCCAAGTGACCACGAAACTGCACGTCGCTCGATATGTCGACTCCGAGGATTCCGATGCTGACTGAGGCAAGTAGAGGAGTGCCTTGAAACTGAGGAGATACGACAAAGGGGTTCTTTTTAGCGGTAAACGCGCAAACTTGTGTCTTCTGAGGATTAAACTGGACTAGATTTAGTCGCCCCCAATCCGAGACTTTGTTCTATGAGTTAGGTGAACAAGAAAATCAACAGCTGAGCGACCCTGACGGAAACCGTACCTGTAGTTAGAGGGGTCTAAGCGGTCGACTTTTTAATGATCGGGTGGACAAAAGCCATCTTCCATGATTTCGGGACTACGCCTAGGGAGTAGGAGCACCGGAAAAGATGCGTTAGAATTGGTGTTAACTCCGGAGCACACATCCTCAGCACAATTGGGGGCATTCCGTCAGACCCAAAGAATTAGCAACATCGTTGGGATCGTTCGGCGAAAAGCAAACCCACCGCCAAGGGGGTGCAAAGAATTACCGCATCCATCCAAAGACTTATAGTGCCACACACAGCGGCATCCTGCAAACATCCTGAAAACAACAGCGATTTCAGCGTGAATGGCACCACACTCCGGACTAGACAATGGTCCGAAGAGCCAATAGGCGCGTCGACGGAGACCTGATATCTGTCCGGATGAGAGATCAGTAGAAGGTATAGCAGGAAACCATCCTAGCATCCCCGTAAGCGTAGTGACCAGTTGTGTCAGAACATATGCCAAGGCAAAATCATGAACAGATCTCCCCGCATGATCGGTTAAACGTGAACCGAGCCATTCGGCGTGGTGGGCATTAAAATAGCCTAGGATCACGATCTCTGCGGATGAGACCTGTTGTAGCAAGGAATCTGCAGCCATTTGGAGGTGGTCAATGAGTCGGTCTGTTTCGGCATTACCGCTATTGGACTTTTAGAGGCACCCGTAGACGCAGGGATGGTCGTCGCTGTCTACGCGTAGCCAAAGGATGGATAGGTCCGAACCTTCAAGACTGCCGATGCGTCGAGAACAGATGTCCTCTCTGACGTATACGCAAACTCCAGCCCGAGGCACAAAGGAGTGTTCCAATTTGTATCCTGGGTAGGAAAGATACGAAGTATCAGCCGGAGAGGACACCTGCGTCTCTGTTAGAAAGAGCAAGGCCGGCTTCGCCGTCTCGAGATAGTAGTGGACGGCGTTTAGGTTCGAGTGAAGTCCCCTGATGTTGCAGAAATTCATGGATAGCATGGCAGGGGTCGCCTTGGTATTGTTGCTCAGTTATATCAGCCCCCCAGAATACACGGGGCAGCCTGAGCACCCACGCTCACGAGTGGAATAGCATGGTCGTGGATGCTCAGCGAGGGATTCTCCAGGGATGCTGGTATCCTCCTGGGGTAGTTTTTCGTTTAATTCCGCTACCATGTGGATGGGGGGTGGGGAATTGGGCCTCCGGCCACCTGCACTCACTAGGCGAAACGCAGAAGCAGAGCTTCTACTTCACGCCGGTATTCTGTGAATCAGAATATAAGAGAGAGACCACATTCACAATCAAGCTTATACACTCTTTCATCTTGTAGAGGGATATTACTCTTGACGAATAGTAAGAACTGGTAAGAACTTACGGATCCTCGTTTACGTATTGTGGAATGTTCTACAGCAGGCACACTCTCGACTATGGCCGGCTTCACTCGGTCACTGTGATGTAGACGCGGGACTTTTTTTTTGCGCCCAGAAGCAATTGAAAAGGGCTACCACGTTACGCGAGGAAGTGGAGAATGCTTTATGCATACCACGACAGCCGGTCTGTCGTGGTTATGTGGGATTCACTGTGACTAACTATCCTAACCCCTAAGTGTACCCACTAAACTCCACTCTTGTGTACGGCGTTGGCTTATTAGGCCTTTCTGCCGAATCGAAAGCGACCCTCTTTTGGGAAAAGAGGGCGCAGGAAAAGAGGGCGCAGGAAAAGAGGGCGCAGGAAAAGAGGGCGCAGGAAAAGAGGGCGCAGGAAAAGAGGGCGCAGGGAAAAGAAGGCGCAGAAAAAGGGCGCGGGACACGAAACTTGTTGTCGTGCAAAACCTGCTTGACGTGCTGAAGTTCGGCGGCCAGATATTTGTTGTCACAGATCCCTCGTGTTCTCTGTAATATAGATTTGCCTACAGTAGCTAACTGTGAAGGTTGATGGTGAGATTTACCGTTTAAATATCGCCTCGAAAAGGTGTTTTTTCTTTACACAGTGTGACCTATGGTGTTGTGAGGATTTCGGATGAGTAACACATTTAGGATATCTAAGGAATTATTTGCCACTAACTCCATAGTAAATTGAATATTAGACTTTGTGAAATTAAGATGTTCTTAAATGCTGCTATTTTGTTTGATGGTAAAATTGTGAAAGTATCGTCTACGTACCGCTTGCAGATGGAGTTACATGTGCAGTAAAAAGGGCTTTCTCTTCAAAGTTCTCCTCAAAGATATATTCATTATATTTAAATCATTATTTTATGCTGTTATCAGAAAATTCTGCCTACCTTCTACTTCACTTTTCTTCAGTCCTTATAAAGGATGTCTGATATTAATTATTTCATAAATCCGCCTACCAAGCGCTACAATTAAGGCAATGTATAGAGCATAGTCACGCAAAGTAGG